GCACAGGGTGCCCAGAGCAGCTGTGGCTGCCCCTGGATCCCTGGAATGTTCAGTTCCAGGTTGGACATTGGGGTTGGAGCAGCCTGGGACAGTGGGAGGTGTCCCTGCCATGGCAGGGGTGGCACTGGATGAGCTTTAAGGTCCCTTCCAACCCAAACCACTCAGGAATTCCATTGTTACTTCATTGAAATAAGAGTTTGCTCTTCCTTTCTTGTTTCCTGTGCTGGGTCAGGGGGCTCAGCCCTGCACCAGACCCAGCCTTTCCCTCAAACTGAAGTGATTTAGGCACCACAGTGCCCTGTTTGTAGGAGCTGGTGTGGCCTCAGCAGTGCTCCTGACAGCTGTGCATGTGGCAGTGCCATCCCAGGGCTCTGTGGAGCTGCAGGCTGTGGGTTCAGGATGTGGGAATGTGGAATGGCCACTTTTAGGATTTTCCCCTTTTTTTTTGGGCGGGGGCACGACAACAAAAATCCACCTGCTCCTAAAACACCAACGCAACCACTGCAACACCTGCTCGTGCACGGATCCAAAAAGCAGCTCCTCATCCTCGTGCCCCCTTCCCTGTGGTGTGTGTGACACTGCAGTGGCACAGGGACAAGGGCAGGCAGGGCCCAGGGTGGGCTGTGCAGGGCTTGAACTCGCATTGTTGGGGGGAAATGGAGCGAACGGCGCCGCTTGCTGCTCAAATTGCAGGGTCTGAGAGCATTTTAGGCTGCTCACACTTGCCTGAAGTTACATATTTCAGGAGGTGTTTAAATAATAATAACTCTCCAATTCCAGCTGGTCAGTAATTTGCAGAGTTCTCTAAAATTCTCAGGAATTCTAAGTGGGTTTGATATTTCCATAGGTTGTAGAGAACCAATGTTTGTTGGAGAACAAGTGAAAAACAAATGCTTGGGAAATGCTTTGACCAATCTGAGTTGCTGGGTGTTGTGTTTTGGGGTTTAATTTTATTTTTGTTCATAATCCTGCTGTTCTTCTTAATTTCTGTTGGAGTTTTCTTCCTAGAAACTCCTGTCTTTATATCTCTTTGTCTATGAAAAGTACAATTTTATTTTACTGAGCGTATTTTAATTATTTACAGCAAGGTGAACCTAATTTAATTTCATCAGGCTACGAGGAGAAGTGAACTTCAACGTTTAGGAATTTATATGCATTTATAATGCATTTATAATTCTGGAGTTTGTAGATTTGAGAAAATCCCATAAGTTCAGTTGTGTTTTAGAAATATTGTCCTGAATTTCTGTGAAAATCCACACATTTAAGGTTTTGGCAAAGATGGGTTGTTGGGATTTTTTGGGATGATGTTAATTTTGAGATTTAGTCAATGCCCAGTTGAAATTTCAGTTAATCCTTGACATTTTAACACTTAAAAAGTTTTTCTAAAGCCTGGTATCAGTGGAAGATAAATCTTTGTCATGCCCGTCTGTGCTTTTCCTGTTGGAAAAATTCATTTTCTCTTTGGATTTCCTTGGTTTTTAGCTCAGGGTAGAACTGAGCAGTTGTGGTGCAGTTTAAAAAGTTTATTCTTTTTGTTTTTTTTCCTTTTTCAGTGTTGTTTGCTGCTGGACTCCCCCATCCCCACAACCCCGCAGGATGATATGAGACTTGAAAGAAGACGATGCATACAGGTGATTTAATATTTAGGATTTTTACAATGAAAAATGATGGATGTTCTTGATGTGCTTTTTGTTGCTGTTCCATTCTCTGTCCCCCCACTGTTCTAACTCAGTAGAATATTTAAGAACCTACAGAATTTTGAAATCTTTCTTAGCACTTTCAAAACTCTTCTGCAGCTCGGAAAACTCTTCTTCTTCCAGGAAGAAAATGGTTTTTCTCAATGGAAATACTGTTTTCAAAGTTTTTATGGGAATGCTTCTGAAGGTGCCAATTAAATGGACTGGTTGATATTTTAGGAAGTTCTCCCATTTTTTGGCTAATCAGAAATCCTGGAAGTGCCAAGTGTATTTCCAGATTCAATGGTTGATTTTTAGTTTTGCTGGAAATCCAGTTGATATTTCAACACAGAAAATCATGAGCAGCAGAAATAGAATAAAACCGAGTTTGTCCAAGAGGGTTGGTCTAATTTTTTATTAATTTTTTTATACCTAAATACCTTTATTTCAATCAGATCTTTGGTTTGCTTGTTCAGCTTTAAACCCCAGGAATCCTTAGGGCTGGGGGGGGGAAAAAAAAAAATGCTGGGCAGATTTGTGTGTGCATCCAGCTCATCTCCTGATTGACAGTTTTCAGTTGCATCAGCTGTTGGTGCATAAACAGCTTTGGAGGGTCTGTTTACATGGAGCCTTTGGATTAGGACCAAGATGCTGGAAGTGGAGATTTCATTCCCTGAAAACCAAACATCTCTCATTCCACTCCCCTGTTTGTGAGCTGTGTGCTGAAAGCTCAAGTCAAAGCAGGTCTAAAGAATTCTAAAATTAGGTTGGGCAAAGAAAAGAAGGAAAAACTTCTCCAAAGGGTTGTTTTATTTTCATGTTTCATTTTAAATATCTAAATCTAGAGGAGCAGCATTAAAAGTCTAGAAAATTGATGTCCCATCAGATTCGGGGAGCTCTGTCTAGTAGGCAGTGACAGATTAAAATAGAACCTAAATATTGAGAAAATGTTTTGAAAGCTTTAAAAATACTCATCCCACAACTGAAAGGAGAGATAATGTTATGAAATTGTACCTTATGTATGACAGTGTTTGAGAGAATTCAGTTTCACATTGCAGTACAGTAATCTGATTTAAAACTTCCAACTTAAGGACTTTCAGTTTTGGTCAGAATTTCTGATGATGTTGAGCTTGTAGAATTAAGAGCTTGCAAAATAGAAATGGGTACAAGATTTTGAAATTTAAGTGGTAATTCTGTCTTCTGCAGCCCAAATTCTTTATTTATAAGTCCCTTGATAAATACAGATCAAAAACCAGGACAAAGACCATTATGCCTCTGATGTGTTGGAAGTTAGAAAAGTCAGATTTATTTGCATTTTCTGTTTGTTGGGAGAGCCAGGCTTGGTGTGCTGAGGTTCTGAGAATGAACAAGATTTGCAGGACTTAAAATGAGGCCCTGCCCTGTGATAATTTTGTGGTGCAGGGACAGGAGGAGTTATTTGGTGACTGCTGATCTCAGTCTCAAATTCAAAGGAGCTGAGGAGAGCTCAGGCCCAAAATTTGAAGGATTTGTGGTTCTTGAGAATGGCTCTCTTGCATTTTCAAGAAGGTTTCTGCAGGGTGATTGGTCAGAGGTGCCTGGTAATGTCAAAACTACCTTTGGTTAAAGTGGGGAAACTTCTACAGGATCAATAAATTCTTTGTTTAAATGGGCTTCACTTCCTTGTCCTGGAAGCTGCTCTAAACCCCTGCAATTTACCACAACAGAACTGGGGAAACAATCCCCTAAAGAAAATTTTTGTCACTTCTACCATGGAGTACTTTAATTTTAGATCACCACTTAAGCTGAAAACACAGAAATGTATTAAGGTCCACTGATTTAAAAAAAAACCAAACAGAAAACCCCAAAAACTAAAGAAATGGGGATATGAAATGTTCTTTTCCAACTTGACTCACCTGGAAAAAAAACTTGCAGCATGTTGAATTTCTCTTTTTGCCGTGTATAATAGGTGGGATATATATATATATCTATATCTATATTTATATCTATATCTATATCTATCTATATATGTGTCCCATATAATGTTTATACTATATACATTACAATATATATGTGTATATATATGTATACTTACAATATATATTACAAAATATATAATTAATAAATATAACAATAAAATAATAATAAATATATATATAAAATATATATATACATACATATATATGTATATACAGAGATATATATATACACATATACATACACATATATATATATATATATACACATATGTGTGTGTGTATATATATATATATAAGTATATACCCAGCAAACAAAAGGGCACTTTAAGGTGCTGTTTGGAGAACTGAAATATTTTCAGTAATTTTATTGACGATCTGGAGCAGGGGATCAAGTGCACTCTCATCTGTGGGCAGCACCAGTTTGGGCAGGAGAGTGGCTCTGGAGTGGGAAGGCTCTGCAGGGGGATCAGGACAGGCTGGATCCATGGCACGAGGCCACATTGGTGAGAGTCAACCAGGCCAGTCCTGCCCTTGGGTCACACCAACCCCATGGAGCTCCAGGCTGGGCAGAGGGGCTGGAAAAGCTGGAAAAGCCCTGGGGGTGCTGGTGCCAGGGGCTGGACACGAGCCCAGGGGTGCCCAGGTGGCCAAGGGGCCACTGGCAGCTGGGCTGGATGAGGAATTGTGTGTCCAGCAGGAGCAGGGCAGGGATTGTCCCTCTGTGCTGGCACTGAGACCCTCGAGGGCTGTGTCCAGTTGTGGCTCCTGCAGGAGAGCCCTGGAGGGGCTGGAGGTGTCCAGGGCAGGGAAGGGAGCTGGGAAGGGGCTGGAGCCCCAGGAGGGGCTGAGGGAGCTGGGAAAGGGGCTGAGGCTGGAGAAAAGGAGGCTCAGGGGGGACCTTGTGGCTCTGCACAAGTCCCTGGCAGGAGGGGCAGGGAGGGGGGGTCGGGCTCTGCTCCAGGGAACAGGGACAGGAGGAGAGGGAACGGCCTCAGGCTGGGCCAGGGCAGGCTCAGCTTGGACAGCAGCAGGAATTTCCCCATGGAAAGGGAGCTCAGGCCTTGGCAGGGGCTGCAATCACAACCCTGGGAAATGCTCAGAAATCTGGGGATGTGACACTTGAGGTCCTGGTCTAGAGAGGGACCAGGCAGAGTTGGGGTAATGGCTGGACTTTGATGGTCTTGGAGGTGTTTTCCAGCCTTAATATTCTCTGATTCAGTGTTTACTTGTGGAGTTTTTAGGATCTGTTCTGCTTTTCTCTGAAACACTCTGCAAAAAGCAAAGCTGGGGTTCAGCTCTTTACAGGAAAAGCCAAGTTTGTATTTCAGTCATGTTGTGGTAACACCGGTAATGCCTCAGAACGTGATCTGTGATAAAGAAGTGTTTTCAGAATGGGAATTTTTCACTTCTTTGTCCTTTGCAAGTCTCTCCAGGACCTTTGGGGAAAGCAAGGAACCAAACACTTCTGGGTGTAGAGAGGCTGGTGGTCAATCATCCTACCCATATTCACTTTTTGTGGTGTGGTGGCATCAAATTTGGGATTGTGCTGGGTTCCTACAGGCAGGGATTCATCTTCTGTTTGAAAGTTGGTGTTTCCAGAGTTACTGTAACCCCTTGTCCTGCTCCTGTGTAACTCAGTGGTTGGTTGTTCTTTATTTTCCTCTTTTTTAATGGAGATTCCTTATAAAAAGCATTTGGTTTTATAACAGCTTTCTGGTTTTGACTTTTGTAGTTATGCTGGAGCCTAAGGAATATGGATCTAAAAATACTGAGCTGTCTGATTTTTAAGCTTTTGAAGAGCTCAAAGCTTCTTCTTGTAACCTTTGTAAGAAAACAGAGTAACATAATGGTTACAGCAAATTATTCTCATCAACTGGAATTATCTTGGATGCACCAGAGATGTTGAGAACCCAAGGAAATGTGATAATGGTATAGTCAAGTTTGATAAGATATTGGAGGTGCTCATATTTCTCTTAACTTAAAAAAATAAAGTCATTTTTGGGAAAGGAAAAAAAAGCAAAAAAAGCCAATCCAATACTTTTCAATAAAGATACTGCACGAGCATTTCAATAGTCAGTTCTCACACAGATATCTGTCCTACCCCAGCTGTGTTCCTTATTAAAACATAACAAACCCAGAGGAAGGATTTCTGGGAAGTTGCTGGATTGGGTTGAGTTTAGACCCTGCAAGTGTCCAGATGTTTATTTTATAGAAGAATACAATGGAAATGTTGAATTGGGCCATGGCTCTCACATCTCCTATTTCACATTTTAGCTGCTGATTTCATTGAGCCTGTAGCTATTTTAAAGGATGTTTTTATATGTCAGAAGTAAAAAAAAAACCACAAACCAAAGCAGAAAACCCCTCTGTTGTTGTGCAGTCAGAACAAAGTTTGTCCATGGTGCTGCTCTGTGCTTGGAGCTCACCTGTGTTACCTGAACTGCCTCAGTCACAGCCACTGGAAGGAAAATCCAGAAAATTCCTGGGCCAGCACCACGTTGTCCCTCCCCTGGATGTTCCTGTGGCAGAGGAGATGCTGGCCCTGGTTCCACTGAGGTGAGGACACACCTGGAGGGTCCCTTGGGAGGTGGCAGAAAAGCCAGGCTTGGAAAGAGCAGAAGAGATGCAGGTGCTGAATCCCTGCTGGGACACAGTGTGGCTCCCACTGGTTTTGTTCCTGGTGGGACACTGGTTCCAGTTGGGTTCTGTCCAGCTGGATCCTCCCAGGGAGTTTTTGCTGGATTTTCAAGTCCTGGCTGAGCAGATCTGCCATAAAGAGAAAATACCACAAAAATCCTATCCAAGACAGAGCTGCTCATTAGGAGGGAAGTTTGAAATACAAACAGCTAATGAGGGCTTGGATATCCCTGGCATTAATTCCTGGTTTTCCTTGGATAAATCCCTTTGCAGCAAGGCTTAGTGCTGGTTTGGGGAGTTTTTGGTGAAAGCAGTGGGGAAGGGCAGCACTCCTCAGACTGAAAGTGGAAGTTCTGCTTTTCAGAGATGGAGTCATTGACCTCAATGAATGATAACCTTGAAGTCAACAGACTAAATTAGTGCTCTACTTTCTGTATTTGAGAGCAGCAATGTGAAAACCTGGACAGCTAAAGTTAGATTCGTGCATCCATATTTAAAAAGAAGTTGCCTATTTAAAAGAAAAGGGTTTTTTGGTTTTTTTTTTTTTTCCCCTCCTCCAGAATGGCTCAGTACCTGTGATATTGAAAATTGAAGTTTTCAGCCTCAGCCCCCATCTAAGAGGAAACAAAAATCCTGTTCCAGGATTTTGCAATGGAATTACAGCCTGGTGGAGGATGCTACTTTCCTTATTCAGGAACAGACCAGAGTATCTATACCAGAAAAATCTTTAGATGCTGCTGTTCTTATAGATAGTTTTAATATTCTAGTAAAGGAATTTCTATTCATTTTTCCTCCAAATACACATGACCCTCTTTTAAAAGCCTTTTGAGGTAACTTTGAATGAAGTTTTAAGTTGTGAGGAGATTTCTTTATTGCAAGGCTGAAATTTATTTCTGTTGCTGATTTCTAGG